TGGCTTCGTGCCTAAGGCGGGACTAGAACTCACAGTCTCCTGGTTTCTAGCCTGGTGCCTTAACCACCACACCAAACTGGTTCACATGATAAGCAAGCACAATTATATATTACAAAGCAGTTCCTAAGTATTAATAAGCTATTGTAGTTAGAAGAACCTGATGCTAGGGGAGTCCACAGAGTATGGTCAAAAAAGTAAAGATGCTCCACCCTGGCAGACACTAATCCCAAAACAGAAATGCAGAACTTGTAGCCTTCCAGATGCTCTTGGATACACCTCCCATCACCCTTGACTGCGGATCATGGTGGCTGATCTGCAATACCTGGTGAATGACCAGTTCCCAACCCCTACCTTGAGGGGAATGAGGGGAAATGCAGATTTGAGGTGGCTTATCTGGTCCTCCAGCATCAACCTGCCTGGCCACCAGTTCAGTGCAGGGGAAATGGGGCTCTGTTTGGGGGCAGTGGAGCAGCACACAAATAGGTCCATTTCTCACACATGCTAGATACACATTGGGGGATGTTGTGCATTTTTTTAAATGTATAAAGGTTGTCTGGAACCACTTCTAGAAGTCCTCCATTAAATTGGGCTGAATGAATAAGGTATATTAGCATAGCTTTCCAAGATTTGGGGAAGGTGTCTTTCCCAGCCTGATCTGAAGATGCTGGTTTCTAAATATAGGCCTTCTGCACACAACATCTTTGGTCTATCATTCAGCTTATATTCTCACCTAAAAAACTGAATTCACTGACCCATAATATCCCTTCCAAATGAGCGGTTCCATATTTCTAACACTCCACAGTACTTTACTTTTATATTTATACTTGCCTTATCATCTCATTTTTTTAAAAAAATTAAAACCTACAGGAAGACACCCACGTTGGCCAATTCCTCTAGCAAAGTCAAGAGGTCTTACCCAAGTACCGTGCTCCCATTTAGTGCAGTAACAGGGTCAAGCCTCTGCATGCAGCCCTGTTGTCCCATGAGCTATCATGTTTGAAGTGGAAGTGAAAGGAAGAGAATATGGGACATCACTTCCAACAGTTTGTTACACTGAGCCCTTGCAGTGTGCAAAGGAATGACAGAAAGAGCTGTGCAATGAACCCAGCTTTAATGAGAAAACAGGAAGAAAAGTTTTTCAACTAGGGTATTAGGAACTAATAGCATATTTAGAAGCTAGAAGATATAATATGCTTCTAAGACTATGTAGCAAGTTATTTACTTCCTCTTAAATTAAAAAAAAAAATCTCTGCATAACTGCTCACATTGCACTTGCTTGAATGCAACGCTCAGCTTCTGTCAAGAAAGTGTTCCACTGGAATTAATGGGGTTACAGAGGTGAATGATTCTGGTCCACTGTTTTAGATTTAAGGCTGTGTCTCTTCCCTGGAAACAATCTTTGTCCGTTCTAGGCTTTTACGAAAGGGTATTCTGCAGTAATTCAAAAAGTTTGACTTTTTTTTCAGCATGAGGATACAGTGATGGGGGAATTAACACTTGTTGAATTTCTGCCTTAAAAGCCCAGAGAGGGAAACACATGTCTTTTAACTTTTTTTTCCCTAAAAAAAGTAAAATGACTTTGGAGGCAGCCTGATTTTTCCCCTTTTCTCTCAAAGAACTGGGGATCGATTTTCCCTAGTGCTTAGATCAATCATAAATGCCATAAAACACATCTGTCCATGGATGCCTTTTGGGTTGTTAAAAAAGCCATTTTAGTTAAAACCATAAATATAGTTTTCAGGCAAATGTCAGAAGCTTCCCTAAAACTCCCCCTCCAAGCAATTTGTCTGGACTCTTTAATTGGCTTTGTACATAATGAACCGTGGCTGGTCTCCACCACAGAGGCGGGGCGGGGAAGGGAGGGGGAGAAAGCAAAACGAGACTCATCGGATTGTTCCTCGCGCAACAGGAAGCTAGGAGCCATTCTGTCAATATGGATTAAATAAATCTTGTTTTTAAAACGCTTCTCCCCTTTTAATCACTCTCTCCCCCCCCCGCTTTTTTTTCCTAGCGCCCAGTAATTGAGATCACATGGAATCAGCCTGAACTCTCCGCAGCTCCAGCGGATTTCAGAAACCGCTGAGGTTTACCTGGCAGGAGCTCTAGCGGAGCCACTGAGCTGGAGGTGAGTCGGTGGGCTGGGAGAACGGACTGAAGAGCGAGCCTCGGCTAAACGCGAGGGCGCCCTTCCGCGTGCCTGTGCGCGCGCGCTGCTCTGAGGGACGCTTTTCTTCCGCCCGTCCTTTTTCCGACCCCTCAAGGCTCCTTTGCCTTTCCGCCGGCCAGCTGCTCGCCGTGCCCCTGCTCTCCCGCCGGGCACTTTTGGGGAGACGACATTGCCGGCTGAGGACACGCAGCCCGGGTGGGTTCGGCCACCCCGTCCTCCGGCTCTTACCTTGTCGCCGCGGGATATTTCTCCGGCTGGCAGTTAGACGTCCGACGCAACACACCAGTACAAGTAGCGCCAGGCAGGGGCGGCTGCGACCACAGCGGTAGTGTAAATCCATTTTCTTCCTTTCTCGGGCTGGGGTCGGATGGCCTCTCAACCCGCCAGATATTATTTTACTCAAAGTTTGGGCAAGTTGACTTGGAGCGTGTTAAAGGTTGGGTTTGCAGTCCGAGGCAATGCCACTAAATTAAAAAAAAAAAAAATGTAGGGATGATGTGGGAGGAGCTTCGTAAGTGGGGAAAGGGAGAGCGAGAGCGAGAAGAGAGCCCGCCGCGCGAGTCCTGAGCCTGCAGAAGCCAGACGGCGCTGAGAGGGGCTGGCGCGGGCTAAGCAGAAGGGCTCTCGCACGCGCAACAGGGCGGAGACCTGCCTCGGGATGCGATTTAGGCGAACCTCCCGTCATGAAGTGGCGCACGGCGATTAGGAGAAAGACGGGCGCGCCTTCGTCTGACCGAGAAGGAAAGACTCGGTAGGACGCCCCGTCTCTCTGCGGTGCGATCGACGGACGCCCCCCTGAGGAGGGCTGGGGCTGCGCGTCGGCGCAAGACGGTGAGGCTCCGCGCGCCGGAGCGCAAAGCCGAGGGCTCAGCGCGCGAGCTCCCAGGTGGACGGCGCTCCCTTTGAGGAACCCGCTCTCTTCTCGCTCGCCGGGCTCGCGGGCTTTTCTGGTCCCTTCGCCCCGCTCTCGGCCGTTCGTCCAGTTTTCCCATAAATCGGGCAGATCGCCCGACTTGGCCGTGCAGTCGCCTCTTTAAAACCCGAGGCGTCCCTCTGGATTTTTCATTTGAAACTTTCTTAGTACCGACTGCAGTTTAAAGATGCCTTCCACGCTCACCTTTTCTAACCCTCTGCCAACTCTTCTTCTAGGGGATCTGGTGAGCTTTACCTTATGACGGAGTAACCCTCTACCTGGAATCAGTGGCAGTTAGATTGATCAGTGCCCTAAACTGATTGTTATCAAATTCTGTCTCATTTTCCCTGGGGAAAGTAGTCATTTTTTTCACATTACACATACTTTCTTTAAAAAAAAAAGAGCCTTCTGCTAATTGTGCGTGAGTGCTTGTATCATTTATATAGAAAGAAGAAAAACACTAGCCCAAATAGGATTTTGCATTCAGAAATTCGAAACACCGATTTTTTTGCTCCTGAGTGAAAAAATAACCCTTAATTCTAGCTCACTGTTTTGTGACCAATGAATCAGACTGCATAATACAGATACTTTATGGAGGAGACCTATTTTCCAATTAAATAGTTTTATTTAAAGTAAGGAGCACGGAACAACCTCGTCTGAAAATAGCTATCATTCTCTGTATGGGAAAAAGTGTAAAATTTCTGCCAAGGATTTCCAAACCCATGAAACAGAACCATTATTAGAAACATGAGTTTCATAATGGACAGAAAACCATTATTAGAAACATGAGTTTGCAACCTAGTCTACATGCATTCATACCTCTACAGAAGATCTGATATAAAATATTTCCAGCAAAAGGCAAAATGCACCATCAGTCTCCCATCTCCCCTGAGCTTCATTTGAGGCCTGGCCTATACAAGCAGCAGAAAGGTCTACAAGGGGAGAGATTTCTGCACGTCCCCCAGATGCAAACACATTTTTGCATGCCCGAAAAGGATCTGCAGGTAGGTACCTGTCATGTCAGAAAGCAAGCAAGACAAAATTCTTTCTCCCTAATAGAAAGGGTTTCTATTGTTCTTCTCCAAGAGAGGATTTTTAAAAGTTGCAGCTCATAAAGTGGCGTGTTCCCATCCCTCGTTTTGTGGAATGTATAGCTGAGGCCTGAGTGTATATCCTAGAATCAGTGTGTTGTTTTCATTCCCAGCCAACCATGGAACATTTACAGCCTGATGCTAAAACGTTCTTACATGAAAACAACTCCTAAGCAGCTAAGCAGGACTTGCATTCTAGTACTGTAAGGAAATATACTTAGGATATTAGTCATGAAATAACAATAAATGAAAAGTGTTGAGTTATCCCAGCCTGTAATATATGTCTCCTTTTATTTATCATTTTTCTTTGCTCCTTCGCATAATGAAACTTCTCACATAAACCTTTATGTTACAAAAGCACCATTCTAGTATTTTTATAGGTTCCAATTTTGGAGTTTTTTAAAGCTGCCTGCCTTATTCACCAGTGAATTCATATACTCTCTTGCTGGCCACTAAATAGCTCTCTATAGTCCTAATATTGGATGGACCATCCTTAGTCCAAGGGGACTGGGCAACCAGATCCGCCTTGGGCTTCATGAACAGACCACAAAAGAAAAACAGATTAAGAAACAAAAACCAGCTGGCAAACAGCAGCCAGCCAGCCACCAGTTTCTCATTCAATGGTATAAAAGAAAATAGGTTTTAGATTTTTTTTCCCCCCCAGAGGAGAATTTCGAAGAAATTCTCACATGCTGGGTTGTGTTCTTACACTAATTTAATTTCAAGGGGTCTGCAAGTATGCGTGCAAATGTCCTGTTTGCCATCATCCAGTTCTCTCACCAGTGGCAGTAGCATCTATGGGGGTTAGGTTCAAATATGGTAGACAGAATGTTGTGATGGAAGCCCCTCCCCTTTGAAATGCAGGTATGATTTCCATGCAGCACAGAGAGGGCAGGGTTTGTGTTATGATACTGTGTCACCATCTTACTGATTGTTACTCCCTGGTCCCCCAAGTGCAACTGTCCAGTGGTCTGTAGCCTCCCTGACTTCTCATGCTTCAATTAAATCTCAAAGGAAAACTTTCCACATAGGACATTCTGCTGGAGGGGCGTTGCTCTTCTCATGTTAATGGTATGTGGGAATGACCTTGGGAGACAGGAGGAAGAGCCACAGACTGGACAACCAGCATGTAAAAGATATCTCAGTCCATGGGGGGGGGGGGGGGAGCTGGGTAGCATTTCAGAAGGAACCCTCCCTAGTTTTCCAAAGAGTAAAAGGAAAGGAAGGGGAAAATACTTTCAGTCTGGCAAGATTCTGTTAATGCAACCTTACAATAAAGATAGAGTTAGTGTTCATTGCTGGGCTTGAAGGGCTAACATATCATTGAGGGAAAGCCTACCCTTTCTTTTTTTACTCAAGAAATTTGAAGAAATCATCCAGCTTATTTTTCTGCCCCAATTCTGATGGACGATAGGTAGATAAATAAATTTGCAAGTTTATCTTCTTTTGAAAGGCCATTTCTGCCTAGCTATAAAATAGATTCAAGCAAACCTGAGTACAGCTACATCTGGAATGTAAATACTTCTAACCAATGACCCTGTCATGTTTTTTTTTTCTTTCGATATAAAATCTTTTTATGTCTAAAAGACACAAAGGTAAAAGCATCTGCTTTGCTAATGGGTGACAACCCAGATCGCAGTGTCTTAGGCGTATTTTAAAATAACCTCTTTTTGTGTAGGAGTATTTGTCTTTCCAATTCTTTGTTTTCATTTTGAAATTCTGGCTTTTTGTATATTGGCAAGCATTTTATGATTTTTAAAACAAGAACTGGTATATAAATTAGACGCGCACACACTGTTAAATTACAGACCCATCCACAAAAAAAGAAACCATCTACACATATTGATTTTCCTAAATCAATACTTTTAGGATTGAAGAGAGGGTAAGAAAGCTTCAGATGAATTAATAGATATTCTATCTATAAGATTCTATGATGGGATAGTGTGCTTTTGATTGGGCTGAATGGTCTCTTTTCCCAACCTAGTAAAATATACAAGAGTACTGAACAAAAATAATTGAAGAAGAGAAAAGATATCAATGCTTTTATCCATCTGGATTCATTAGGGGTTAGGAATTCTGGAAACTGATCCAGCAGTCCCTTTCTGAGAAAGATCAAGAGCAGAAGACTAACAGTTGCCATCATGCTCTTGAAAAATAAGTCTTGTTGAAAATGGGTGGGTGTGTGTCTTTATGTCCAAGTAAATATGGTTAGAGAACTGAACACAAGTGTCCTAGGGGATACTGAGTTAAGCAGATAAATACAATTTAATCTTCCCAGATGGTTGACCCTTATAGCAACCTTTCTAAGGATTAGTGATGAAGAGGACAGGATGATCTGGAGAATGGGGGAAGGGAATAACAGTCCATTGAGAAGGAAGAAGAGGGTGCTTCTCTTACAAATAAGTTATAGGCAGTGCCATTGAGGAAGAGGAGGGGAACAACAAAAGTTAATTCATACAGAGCAAAGAGATGAGAAAATCTGTCCATTTCAGGTTCTCATGTTCAATTTCTCAAGCTTGACCTTGATTTTGTAAAGTTTGCATTAAAATTTGTATGGATTTGGATCCACTTCTCAATGTGGTATTTTTGTGATTCTCCCTAGTTTTTGCAAAGTATTTAATCATAAGCAACAAAGGCATAATGATTGTCTACTACCAAATTCCAGATTCCTAGATAATCTAATTAACTTAAGGTATATGCATTTTGCTTCTATATTCCACTGTATTGTTAACCGTTAATACCTTTAAATAAAAGGGGAAAAAAGAATTAAAGAATTTCTCAGAAACAATACATTTTGTACATTTCTACAATTTAAACTGAATTTAAGCGAAAGTAAATACTATTGAATATATTTATGTAAATATTGATGAATTGTAATTTTAGAGAAGTAATTTTGGATGCTAAGTTTCAGCTCATATATTGATTCAAAAATGTAAAATGATTCATCCTTGCATTCAAATTCATATATTTATTGAAATTCCCTGAGAAATCTTAAGTAGTTGATATTATGTTATATTATAGCTTTATAATTATATTATAATGTAATTTTATTTATATTATAAATAAAAATAATAGTTTTTAATGCAAATTAAACTAATTTCTCTGCCATTCCTACTGCACCATATACACAGTGTAGTTATCATTTAGATATGAATGTAAAATGAGTCAGATTTAAAAGGACCAGATTTGTAGGTTCCTCCAAAATAGTATCGTGCACAGTGGAGTTGATCCAAATATGATCAAAATGTTTTTAAAAAATTTAAAATCTGATCAAAAATCAAAACAAAATGCCTTTTATGCCTTTGTGAGAGAGGCATTTAAAAAAGGAACATATGTTTCTGGAAAAAATAGTTATATAAAAAAAAATACATCGTAATGGGGAAAACCTATCAGAAGGAGATTTATATAACAAAGAATGATATTAGGCAAATTTTGATATAGAACAAAAGGTTTATCAGAGAATTTACATTAAAACTACATATGATGGCAAAGTTGCATACAA